GGCACCTTGTTTGGTCCCTTCTTCAATCACTTAATTGGGAGTTCATCGGCAGGCTTTACTGAATTGATATTGACCGGAGAAAGGGTAGAAGCCGGGATAAAGAATGGAAAGATTCAAAAAGATGCATCCTCTGCTGCTGTAAGGAAGCCATTCATCGGAAAGAAAGAGGTGGTTGTTGTATATCCTCAGAGAAATCAAGATAGGGCCGAACGTCGTCCAACGGTGGGGGCTGTTATGATTCCTAAACCTGCGCCTGGTCAACAAAGAAACAACCAACCAAGAATGGAAAGACCAGTCATACAATTCACCAAAACTAACATGACAATATCTCAGGTATTTCCATATTTGTTAAGATCCAACCTAGTGACTTTGAAAGAAGCTCCAAAGAACCCTAACACAACCTCTCCTCACTATCATCCCAATGCCTGTTGTGCATACCATTCTGAGAGTCCCGGCCATGACACTAATAATTGTTGGGCTCTAAAGAACAAAGTATAAGACCTCCTTGAAGCCAAAGATATTGAATTCGATGCGCCAGAAAAGCCCAATGTCATTTCTTCCCCTATGCCCAAGCACGGCCATAATGCCAACGCCATTGAGGAAGATATGTTTGTTACTTCAGTTGATGAACTTATGACCCCACTCCTGACTATAAAAACTAATTTGTTAAGTTCCGGTATATTCCCAGGCTGTGATGAAAGCTGTCATTTCTGTTTTTCCTCACCAACCAGCTGTCCTTTGTTGAAAGCAGATGTTCAGTGCCTAATAGATAACATGGAAATTTTGTTCGAGAAGGCTTCAATTCCAACAGTTTCTTATAATGATGTTTCCATCATTACCATTTCCGCCAATTCTTCCAGGGTCTCTACTAAAAGACCCGTTAGAATTGCATCAATTCCAAAAGTAGCTCCTTTGATAATTACAATGCCTGGACCAATCCGTATTCGTCAGACAAAACCGTACCATGGAATTATGGAGGGGATGTCTACTACCACGGTATCAAGCAAGATTGGCCATCTGTTGAAAATTCAAGTTCTGAGTAGGTTGAATATGATATCAGTAATATTGTAGGGACTAGCAAGATTACCCGAAGTGGAAGGATATTCTCTCCAGAAATTGCTCCCCCAAAATCAGTTTCTGGACCCGTAATTATTCTTGTTGTTGTTGCTCCTCCAAAGGTTATTCCCAGTCCTACAATCATCTCTGCTAATACTCCTACTGACAAAACGGTTATAATCTCTGTTATCACCCCTACTGACATTCCTGCTGTCAAGTCAACCGAGACTCGAGGAAAAGGTATTCTGATTGAGCCTGTCTGGACGAAGGCACAATCAGCGGTTATCCCTGAGACCTCCCGTAAAGAGATGGAGGAGATCCTAAAGATCATAAAAAGAAGCGACTACAATGTAGTCGAGCAACTAGGGCAAACTCCATCAAAAATTTCCATGTTGGCTTTATTACTATGTTTCGAGGCAAATGCAAAGGCCTTGGTAAAATTCCTGAAAATTGCCGATGTACCCCAAGAAACATCTGTCGATCAGTTCCAAGACTGCGTAGCCAGCTTGACTGCAGACTAGGGTTTGTATGGAAAGACTAAAACCAATACTTAAGAAAACCCTAATTCAAGATAAAATCAAGCATGAAAACAATGCACTTGCGCACAAGCACCCCCTAGGGTAAATCCACCGGGTTGCCTTTATAAAATGGCCATATTACGCATGTAAGGTATCTTAGCAAAAACAAGATCATAGTCCCTCAATGACGCTATCTAAGTTGCCTTTCAAATGATCTTAGTCCCTAAAAAAGAATGCTAAGTGTTGTACCCCAAATTTTGACCTAAGATACCGTCTTCCATCTGCATCATTCGCATTGCAAGAGTTTTGACATATTTTATCAAATTTTCAAAGCAGTTTAAAAATTCATAACTTTTTCGAGTCGGGAGCTGTTTATTTGTTGAACGCTAAATTTATTAATTGATCAAGATTTAAATGACGTTTATTAATTATTTATTATCTTAAATTTAAATAATTGGAATCTATTTTTCAATTGTTATATAATTTAAAGACTTATGAATAATGAAATAAGCATTTGAGAATGAGTTTATTAATTGGTCAACAATGATTATTTAATTCTTTATCATTTTAGATTAAATAATTAAAATTCTATTTTTAATTATTATAATTTGGAATTTTACGAATAATGAATTAAATAGTTGAATTTGTTGATTAGTCGATGATGTTTATTTATTTGTTTGTCATTCTGAATTTAAATGATTGGATTTGATTTTCAATCATTATATGATTTAAGGAATTATAAACAATAAATAAATAATTGGAAAGAAAAGGAATTAATTGAGAAATAATAGAATTTTTATTCACTTTATTCTATTTATTACAATTGTTGTTTAAATACTATTGTACAAAGTATTTATAATAACCATTACGTAAATGCTTAAAGTAAAATAAAACATTTTTCCTAAATTCTAATTCTAATCTTCTATCCAATACTCTTTGTCTGCTCATTTAAATTTTACCTGCAAAAAAAAAAACGATTAAAAGAAAGAAATTAGAATTCGAATAAATAATTAAAATGCAGAAAATAAATTCAATGTTCATCATTAAAAGCAATGGCCGGAATCAGTTACTCTTTTTGCAAATCACGGGATTTCTCCCGGTTCACAAAAAAGAGAGGAATTTTTAAATGAATGCATAATTAAAAGAAATAGCACATTTTCAAAATCATTTGCATTTTTATCAAAAAAGCCCACTGCATTCTTCACATATGCATAAGTTCTTTTGGTCAAAGCTGCATAAAACATATGAAACAGCATATGCTAGTTCACAAACAAGCCAACGTTAACCTGCACCACATAGGAGATAACATAGGCTAATGCAAGACAAAAGAAAATGCAATTCCAACAATATGCAATTTCAAACATGTGCAGTCTTAAAACTATGTATGCAAGCAACCTATATTTCCTTTTTTCATCATATTCCAGCCTGTTTGCTTTTTCAGACAGCAGTACAAGATATCACATTCATGTATCATTTCTGTACTTGAGGGAGAGAGAGAGAAGAGGTTCCATTTTGCAGGTTCTGGCCTAAGCATGAAATGGGAATGAAATCACTTGTAGCAGCATATGTGCAGCATCAGAAAATATATAATATACTCAAACCTGAGCCATAAAAGAGGCAACGGCTATATGAGAAAAATCCCTTCAAAAGGAAGTCTAAGCTTGCATATCTCTACACACCATATCACTGCAAAACTAAGAAAATATAGTCCATTGCAAACCATAACCATTCCCAAAACAGAACCTACAATCAAAACCATTCAAAACCGAACACAAGGCAAAAAACCACATAACCGGCATATTACAAAACCTGCATTACTGCTAAACCATTTTGCATAGCATATTGCAAATCACAAAACCATGGAACCTGCATAGCACAAAACCATGGAACAAGCATACTGCTAGACCAACCTGCATATTGCTAAACCATTTCTAAGCATATTGTCAAACCATCCAGCATACTGACCAAAACCAAATAAACACCAAATACCTGCATCGAAAACAATAGAATAGTTACAATAAAACCATTTCCCTAAAAAAAATTCATCCTTTCTTTTCCTCTCTATAAAGCTCAAACTTTGTTAACAGAAAAAAGGGGGGATCCAAAACTTCTAAATCTCTCTCTTTATGGAAACTACAAAGATTCATGGCAAGACGTGAGAACTCACCAAAATCCTACCTTATCACCATGTTTCCCTGTCTCAGAACCGTTTCTTGTTGATGCTCCTTTTCTTCAAGCTCTTAATGCTCAGAGTTACAACGACACTCATAGTCGTGGGAATAAAATCAAAGTTCAAAGCTTCATGCCATCGATAGTCCTCTTCAAGCTGCCTGTAACAGAATACCAGTTTAACGCGATTCGCAGCTAAAATGCAACTTCAACAAAGACTGAAACAAATTTTGAAACAACAACAACTGGAGTCGAAGAAATTATAAGAAGAATTTGTACCTAATGTAGATTTCCCTCTGGTATTCTTCTACGCATTCGGAAAGAGTTTGTTTCAACAATAACCGATACGATTCTCAGTATCGTAGGTAAGCTTTAAACCACCATCATTCCCATTTTTGAATATGCAAACCCATTACTAGCATCATATTTAAAAGCTGAAATAGAACAAGAATCCAAACATTAAAATAAAAAGTGTTAGAAAATAGTGCAGAAAACTTACTAAAGCTTTCCCTAAAGTTTAGCACATCTAAGGTAGCAAGAAATGTTTAATCGACATTGAGGCCAGATTTTGAGTTTGGTTCGATTTTGGTCTTGTATTAGGAGATGAGTAAGAATTGCGGTGAGAGCGATTAGTATGAGACTATGAAGAAGTAGCACCGGTAAATGAAACAACTCACCAACCAAGTTCTCCATTTCCGATATGATAACACCCAATCCGCCACTGCTTTCCTCCATCATGCCACTCGCCATCGTATCCATTCTTCTTGCTGCAATAATCTCAGTTGTTCACCTCCAAAATCCCTTTCTTTCTTTCATAAACAGCGTCATCCAAACCAATCCGCTACCATCACTTTAACTCCCTCTCCCTCCACGCGTCAGCTTCCTTTCGACCCTACCCCTGTTCTGCTACAGCAACACGTCAAATCCCTATATACACCAGCAATAACTTAATAGATAAGATTTCAAAAACTCGTAATGTTCTAACACCAACACAATCATAAACACACTGTTAATTTTAAGCCAACTTGAAATAATATAGAAATTCACAAACCTTTGTTTAATTGCCCATTCGGACTTTACGATTCATCGCCATCATTATCTCCTTCTGTAATCACACCCTTTAACCTTCAACATCACTACAGATTTAAATTCAAAACAAAAAACCAATTATTTCACACACACAAAACATTCCATTCAAAAATCTTAATTTGAAAAAAGAAGGGAAGCAAAGTACCTTTAACCGCAACCACCACTACTATGCCTCACAAAGCGAATCCCATTGATTTTGAGAACAGCGAAGGCAATTTAGGCGTGGCTAATGGAGGTTTTTCTCATCTAAGCTTGAAGTTGCCGATTTCACGTTGGCAGAGGGATTTGACTGATTCAACTGTCTTAAGGACCATGGGTGTCAATTTTGGTCATTCTCTTCTTGCATTTAAAAGCACACTTCAAGGAATTGGGAAGCTTCAGGTCAACGAAGCTCGCTTGAGCGAAGATTTGAACCAGTGCTGGGAGGTACTTGCTGAACCAATACAAACGGTTATAAGAAGATACAATGTTCCCGAGCCTTATGAGAAGTTAAAAGAGCTGACTAGAGGGAAAGCAATTACCAAAGAAAGCTTAAGAGACTTCATTGAAGGCTTAAAATATTCCTCAAAATGCAAAGACCTATCTCTTAAAGTTAACGCCGCATACTTACGTTGGAACCGCCGTTGAACTGGCCAGAACTGTAGAACACGAAGTGGATCGTGGAGGAGACCGGAACAAGGAAGAAGAAAAGGGGTCCAGCGGCGGCGGCCATGGCACAACATTTCTTAGGGTTTTTTCGTACAGCTTTGTGTTTCTCTTCCTGGGTCTGGGTCTTTCCACGACCCGCTCCACTCTCCTCAACCCAGCTCAATTCCCTTTTTAACTAAAAGCCCATTTCTATTTGCTAATTCATACCCCATCTTTATTTACTCTTAATTAAATTCTATTCATTTCTTAACTTAATTAATCTAGACTAATTAGTTTCTTAGAAATAACATATAGTTTTAATTAAATAATTTTTAATATTTTGTCCAAATCTTATTAGCTTAAGTTTTAATTTAGTAAATCAAAATAAGAGATGTAACTTAAAACATTTTTTTTAATATTTGACTAATTTTATTAATTTAAACTCTTAGGATTTAATTTAATAATCTTAGTATCTTTTTAAAATTAGACTTAAGTTAATAGCATTAAGTTTTAATTTAATTTAAAGAATTCTTAAAAGTAATACTTTTTATTTATATTAAAAAGGACATAAAAAATAAAAACATATAAAACCTAAAAAACATTTCTATTAATTCTCGTTACTTTTATCTATGTTAAAATGCGTAACAAATTAAAACACTTTTCTTTTCAAATATTAAACAAAAAATCTAAAAATGCATGTTCACACGCTCCGTCTCCTATTTAATTTGTTGTATATCATTTATCTCATAATCCTCTGTTTAAATATCTCGCATTTATTTGATTATCATGTTTGCACCAATCCAAAGGGAATTGTCTAATTTTTGTTGACTTCATGTCCTCAAAAACGATCGAGCGAATACTCTTATTCATTAAAAACTTAGGTTAATTTTCCTCAAATATTCACCTTTCTTCAAAATTTCAACCTTTTCAAGACTTATACTTTTTAAGCCAAAACTTCGACATTAGGTCGTCGCATTTTCAAAAACCCGTCCGTATCCCTTTTTCGGCCAAAACGGTTCATTTTCAATCAAGCAATCAATTTTAAATAAAACAGATATTTCAAAAGGTTCCTATAGAGTACTATAGATGCATTGGGTGCTAATACCTTCCCATTGTATAACCAACCCCCGAACTCTCGATCTCTTTTCAAAAACGCTTTGTATTTGTATTTTTATTTACATTGCATATTTAGGGTTTTATTTCGCTCTTTTCCCTTTTCCTTTGGAAACAATAAAGCGCGGTGGCGACTCTTGCTTTTGTGAGACGAATTAATCAATAATTCGATCTCCGATTTACCCCGCTACATTTTTTTATCGCTACAGAATTGGCGACTCTGCTGGGGAAAGATTGACCTCTTGCTGGTCCATCCCTAAGTGGGTTAAGCCTAATTTGTTTTATCTGTTTTATTGTTATTTGATTTGCTTGATTATGTGTTTAAATTGGGGTTATTTGGTTTTTTGCAAAGGACGAATCCTATACCCGGATTAAGTAACACTTAAGGAATAGGACGGGCGGTATAGTCATGTTAACTTTGAGGGAGTAATCCCGAAGAAGGAGGCATGAGATCCCCCACTCAATGGAAGGCCCTCTCGAACTTAATATTTGTTTACCGAGTAATCGGGAAGACGTTATTATTTTCGACCTAGGAGCCCGAGAAGTTGAGGACCGTAGAACCCTAACCCATCTTGGCCTTTTTAGGTGTAGCGCGGAGACTATAACGGAGTAATTCGGAAGTAGTTGTTACGCGATGATACGCTCGGACGAGTTTCTCTTGAGAATATTGCTAATTATCGAGTAATCAAGACGTTGGCAATATCCGAAGGAGGAATGTAGACTCTGGGAACTCTTAGAACCTTGTCTTACAGGTGTGATCGAAACATTAGTACATACCTTTGGGTGGGCTTTACCCTCGACTCCATGCGGAACGTTGAACTTTTTAACCCCATGTTTGTGACCTTGCTTGTGGTTGTTGCATCGCCATGCATTCATGCATCCATAAAACTCTTTTCACTTGACTTTGAAGGAGTTTGGAGGTCTTTCTTTGTAAACATCACTAGTTTCGTCAAACTCAATGGATCTTGGGTGTCGATAGGGCGAAAACCCTAATCCACCAAAATGGATGATTGATCTTGACGATAACTTGATCAATGTTTGGATCCAATTTAAAATTCATCTGTTATCCTCATACTTGGATGTTTATAACTTGATATCTTGAGTTCCTTGAAAGTCAAATAAAACTCTCTTTTGCATATCATACATCATTCTACATTTTCTTTGTCTCACTTTCAAAAGTCTTTTTCCGAGTCTCATTTTTTCCTTGGTCTCACTAGTACAACACTCGCGCTAAGAGGACAATGGAGAATATCAAGCAAGAGGTTTCTGAACTCCGCAGAGAGGTGACTATTCTGAAAGCTGGTTTGGATCACTTAACTGGTTTGGTGGAAATTCTGCTTGCCGCCCAAGTCAATCCGTCTAGGAGGGAGGAAGCAAGGATAAAAGTCTTCACGGAAACTCTAAAATCTTTTTCTCATGAAAAGGTGACGGTTAATGCACCCGACGACTTTCCTGACAAGGTGAATGTGGGAGTGCGTCTAGCAGAAGATGTCGGAAAGGGATGTTCATATGAAGATGGTAGCTCAGCTAGTGGTGTGAAGAAGTTTGATAATGACTTTTCCAAGAAGAGAACCAGAGGAAGAGATAATCATCATCAGAATCATCACGTTCATCAACAGAATCAGCAAGTTCCTAATCAGAGGAAAACCCAGTTTGATTCAATTCCAATCACCTATACAGAGTTGTTCCCTATCCTGTTGCAGAGGAATTTGGTTCAGACCCGACCTCCACCGAAGGCTCTTGAGAAGATACATTGGAACTACAAAGCTGATTTGGCTTGTACTTTTCATCAAGGTGCTCGTGGGCATGACTTGGAGGGTTGCTTCGCTTTGAAGATTGAGGTTCAGAAGTTGGTCCGAGGTGGTATCTTGTCGTTCAAGGACGTTGGTTTTGAAGTTCAAATCAAACAGGCGCCAAAGAGTAAACACGATTGAGGGTGACTTTGAGTTTTTGAAGATGTTTTCGGTAGTTCAAGTGGAAAGCCTTCCCAGATTATTAACTTGTTTCTGCTTTTGCAGCTTTTCTTATTTATCGAAACATTGTTTGCATGTAAGAACTTGTTCGCATCTGAATGATCATTTTAATACAATGAGTATGTTTGTCTTGAAGAAATTCATTCGTTTCACTCATATTTGTTTTCAAATTTTAAATTCCTTTTTGCATTATGATGCCAACTTGCTGACCATTCTCTTGCCTAGGCAGAGATTGAAGGGGGGATGAGGATCTAAAGAACACAAAATCTTTGGTTGCATGCTTTTGAATAAAATCTTGTTGATGATGTACAGGCATTGTTTCAAATCCCTAAACACCGGAGATATAAGGAAGATAATCCCTTGCTAACCCCTTTTGAGCCTTTGAAGCAGAAGTTTCTTTTCTATACGAAAAAACCTTGAATATTAACCTGGGGCAGGGTAGTTTTCGGTTAATCTGATTGAGTGTTCAAAATTCGCAAGGAAGATGTTACCGTCACAAAATCCTTTGAGAGATGAACACTCATGTTGAATTAACCGAACATAGAGTTGGAGAACATCATGAAGAATGGGTGGGCACCAAATATTTTGAGCCTTAAAATCTTTTTCTAAAAATAACCCATGAATCGGACCACATTACAACCTTCAAAAGTCCTAATTGAAGCAAGGTTATTTTGAAAGCATATTTCAATGAGGTAGTGTTCCTGACTCCCATGAATGTTATAAATAGTTATGTTGGTATCATATGTTTTTCCTATACAAAAATAAATGGTGCTTTAACTCGCAAAATTTGTGCGATATCTTTCAAAATCTTCAAGACTCACATAACTGTTGCATTAGAATTCTCATTCTCATTGTGAACTTTTTTTCTAACTGCAAAACATTTGCTTGATATCAAGGAAGCTCACATAAACACCAGTGATGAGTTTACCCTTTTAAGGCTTGAAACTATGTTGAGTAATTGGAGAATCATTTCAAGAAAAACCATATCCAGGGGCATGTCAGCTGAAGACCTTAAGCACGAACATGTTGCTTCTCCCAGTTATTGCTTTTCCCAACTTGTTTGCTCGTTTGGGGCAAAATTTCGAAGACTTTGTTATGCCGACTACAGTCAATCCGGGGCAATCGCGTCAAGATTGGATGATTTCCTCTAAGAGCTTGAAGACACCAGAGCATGGTGAATGCCAGGTCTTTTGTAAAACCCTCGTTAGACGATTTTCTCGCCATCAACCTTTTAGCTTGGGGCATTCTAGAAGTGAAACTATTCGCAAGAATCGTCGTGCATCATGCAGCTCGTCAGCAGTAACTTGGGGCATCCATATTGGTCCCAGGGGCAATCTAGACTTGTTAGAATGTGTGTTATGTATCGCACACTTTATCAGAGGTTGGTGTTCCCAGTACCTCCAGCTAAGCATGACTCCTTCCAGCTGAAGCTTTGTTCGTGTTGTTATCCTTTCAATGGGTTGTCAGCAGTAGAGGACTGGACTTTGGGTTTTCTACCTAAAATATCTTCCTCTCCAAGAGATTTGAGCTTTGTAGGTTGACTTTGCTCCTTTGTTGGCTTTTGTCTTCTATCTCCAGTGATGTTCCCCTCCTTTTGAAATTAGCCGAGTGTCGGGTTGTACTGTGATGTCTTATCATCTTCTGTCCATTTCCCCTGTCGGTTTCGTCAGCATATACATGACATTCATTTATTCTTTCACCATTGCCTCATGCATGCACAGTTGTATTTGTTGATGTCATTAAGTTTGTACATCTCGGTTGTGCCTTTTCAAATAGCACATTTGATCTTTCCAAATAGAGTGCCGACTTAAGCATAAAATGTGCCTCCTTTCTAATTCCCCAACTGAGCTAATCCTCGTGGATGATTTTTGATTTAGCTTACCTTGTCCATTTCTGGATAGGATAATTTCCCCA